GAGAGTGTGTGTGAGATGGAGTGCAACTTTGCTTTAAGAATAACTTCTTACTGCTGTTGGATCTAAAGCTTGTGTGGATTTTTGTTGTTTTTTTCATTCTTTTTCTAAGCACAGCAGGGGAAAAGTGGAAATGGGTAGTATTATTTGATTTGATTTTATTCTGATTTTGAGAAATTTATTTTCTGATGCAGTATTCAAGCAGTATTTAATGAACAAAAACTGTGAAAATCACTACTACTGGATACTACTGATCTGCCCCTAAAAAACTTGTAATTCTCAATTTGCTATTAAAAGATCCACATCAGCAGTAATTAATTCTTCACGACCTCATCAGAGATGTGTCTTTATTATATTGCCAAATGACTTTTTTTGTCCAGCACACTAAGGAGGGACAAAATCAATTTTGCCCTTGCCCATCAGTTGACATCACTCATTTATTCCTATAGTCTGTGGTTTAAGGTCCATTTAGTTTTCACAGGAAAATTAAATACGATGATCATTTCTCTCATCAGCTATGTAGTCCATTTCATGTTCAAGCTCTAGAAATACATGTGTTTTAAAGTTGTGTTGGTTCAAAGCATATGACATTTAATTTGCAAATAGGTAATGTTTTTCATAATCCTAAAACATGAAACTGCGGGTAATAAGTGCAGCAGAATTAAAAGACTGAGATTTTTGTCTGCTGCTGTTTTAAGTAATTGTGATGGCATTTTTTCATTTTTTAACTAATGTGTGTTTTTAGGAGTGAAGGAAGTTGAATTTTTGTGACTATGCCTTCATTGCTAATCTCTTTGTGAATGAAAAGCTATATGCAGGCACAAATCCAGCAGCTTAATTCTCTGTCTGATTAGAGCAATGTTACCAACCTGGTAGGTTGAAAACAGCCATGATCCATGCAGTGGCGTGGCCTCCTGGGAGGCAGAGTAATAACAATCAAATGAAGACATATTAAAATGTAATATTACTTCCTCTCCATGGGGACAGTATAAGAATCATAGCCAGGAACTGTTCTTGTCAGCTGACTCTGCTATGCTCACTGACTCCCTTCCTCTGCATTTATGACTAATGCACTTTGTACAATAAACAGCACTTGCGGAGTTTTAAAAGCTAATAAATGTAAAACATTATACATTGATTTACATGAGTTTCAGCCTTTTTTGTTTATTTGTTTGTTTTGTTGGGGGTTTTGTTTGTTTTTATACAATTCATGTATTTCAAAGAGGGGGAGGCAGATCAGAATGAGGTTTTTTGGTCTGAATAATTTAATTTCTCCCGTGTGTATGGAGGAGGAGATGTTAAAGTAGTGTGTTATGAACCTGCAAATGTATACTAGCTTCTCTAAAGTAAGTATGTATCAGCAAGACTCTTAAACCATAATTTCATAACAGATAAGTGTTTTCTGAATGTTGAAAAGCTAAACTTGCATTCCTTATAAAATGGCATGTGATGTTGTATTCAAGCAATACAGACAAACAGTGTCTGATAAACTACTGTAAAAATGGCCTATAAGTTATTACAATTTTGTTAGAAAGCCTTGAAATTAGTAGAGATTTTAGCACAAGTATATATGGGTTTTTTTAGGTATAGACAAACTGTTGAATAATTTATTGCGGTTTTGGCTGTAATTATTAGTTTTGCAGTTGACACCAGTGGAGCAGGACAGGTCTCAGAAAATCAGAGGTATTTAACCATCAAAAGATTTAAAAATATTTTGCTACCTGTTTAGCAACATTTTACTTACTTCTATGTTCTTATGTATTGCTGTATTAATAGAAAGTGAAGTGTGGGATCCTGAGAACATACTAATACTAATGAGAAACTTCATATTAATAATTAGTTATGCTTATTAATGTTAATATTTAAGTATTTAGTCTTCTTAGCAGAGGGCTTTGTATGGTAACTCATCTAAGTAATTGACTTTAAAATATATCCATATTTAGACCAAAATGTAAAAAAACCTTGTTCTTTTACACACACACACATATACATATACATATATATATATATATATGCATATAAGAATAAATTGGATAGAAAGTTTAAAATCTGATTATATAAACACACTGGAGGATAACATTTCCATTTTGGGTACCAGAAACTTGTGTTACATTTGTGTTTAAATCCAAAACTCCTATCGGGGGCACTTTTTTTTTTTTTTTTTTGGATATCCTTTCAGTGTGAGCAGAGCTGCAAGTTCTGGGTCACTTTCCCACAGAGGTGTGGATGCAGTGGAGGAGCTAAAATGACAGTGGGTGTAATTTTCATTTGGAAATCAATATAGAAAGGCCGCAGCAAGTGTTTGAGGAATATTTCATACTCACTCCCTTGTTTGACTTCTGCACACTGCACTGTCAAGGGGCATTAGCAGTATGAAACTGTGTTTTCTCTGCTGTCCCAGATTACTTCTTTTTCTCAGTGAAGCTTGTCAAAGCTTAAAAAGATGTGTTTAAAGCTACCCACTTTCTTCCTGGTACACTAGGGATACGCAAGGTTGTATTTCGGCAGTCTTAATGAATTTCGAAAAATAATTTCCTCCAGTGGCCTTGGGTAATTGTCAGTTTAATTACAGGAAAAGCTGAGAAGGAGACTTGCTTTGTCACTGAAATGCTTCTCTTTGAAAATTCCCTGTTCCTCAGGACGTAGCAGTCTGTACTCTGAGCTACAACGTAGGCTTTCCTAAAATCCCTTGAAGAACTGTGGAAAAAGTGAATACTTCTGCAAATTCATTCATCTGACATCAAAGCTCTGAAAGCATTCTTTTAGCAAGCAAGCAAGGCGGATTGCGCTGGCGTAGGCACACAACCAGACTCATTGTACATCTGGGTCTTCCCATTTGGAGACTGTATTTGAAGTAATTTTTGCATTTTTTTTTTTCATCTTACTTTCTTATTCTGTTCTGAGGTCAGACTGCATCCTCTGCATCCTGTTGAGGTCTCCTGCTCCATGGGTTAAGTGGATAGGCCTTTAAAGAATAAAAAGGCATTGGTGTTCAGAAGAAGCAGCATTCTAGTCAATTAAAATCAAGTAGAAGGTGTTTAAGGAGATGTGATTCCCTTCGGCTCTATTAAAAAAAGAATCAAATAACAAAACCACAAGACAAAGTCAGTGTTTATTATTTGTACGTTCAGTTGGTGCTCAGCTTTGGTATTTCTATTTACTGCATTTTTTCTCTGTGTCCTTGTGCTGGTACATTGGCAAATAGATCATAAAAAACACTTTCAGCAAAGACACGTTTGATTTATGTCCAGGATGGGTTCTTGGTATTGATTTTTTTTTCCCCTCTGGAAAAAAAAAACAAAAGAAAACAAAACTATATGTCTCCATTATTTTCCAAGCCTGGCAATGCAGTGACACATTTCAGATCAGCTTTTATCTTAAATTACTCAACGTGCTCTTTTGTATTTTGAAAAGTCTTTTTGCCATACAGCTATTGTCATGTTTTTACAGGGGGGAGGGAACAAGAGGAGGAACTGGGAGGGACCACGTATTAGGAGAGGGGAGTTTTAGGAAAAGAAAGCACAGTTTGGGAAGTTTGTATGGTGGCTGTAATTCGAGTTGGTCACAAAAGAGTCAGAAGTGGAACAAAAACAAGACTCAGATCAAAGGCTAGGAAGCAGGGTTCAGCAGTATGGGGTTTATATCTTTACGGCTAGAGAGAAGATTAGAGCAAGAAAAATACTGCCATGGGGGTAGGAAGACATTGTGAAGGAAAAAGGAAATATACATAGACTGCATTTGAAAGAAAATCCCCAAGGAAGGTGAAAGAGAAGGAGCGAGACTTAAAAACAAAGACCTGAAGAGTGTAAAGCCCACAGGCTGAAAGGAGAGGGGCAGAGGGAGGCATGTACTGCTTAAGCAGTTCACCACCACCACCACCACACCAAGCAGTGAGCTCCCTGACATCCCATTTTCCATTTGTTTTCTCCAGTTGGTGGCCCACTGTGCCCACTCATAAGTTTATTTTGGGCCTCAGATAAACAACTCCAAGAAATGACAGTGAAATTTCCATCCCCAGGACAACCAGGGCAGGAAACCCCCGGTGCATTGCCTGCGTAGTGAATCCAGAGCCCACCGTTTGCAGCTGTGCCCCGCTCATGGTGGCTGGCGGCCCAGTGCAGTGCAGTGGCTGCAATACCAACTGCTGAGGAGCTGCTGAATCCTTTGCCAGCAGCTGTTTTGCAACCAGCAGCTGGCTGGGGCGGCAGCGGCGCACCCATGCGCCGTGATTCAGCCCTGTGGGTTCTCCAAGGGAGTGGAGCATGGCTCGGCAGTGTCAGCCTGCGCCCGGATCGCGTGGCTCCAGCTGGCACCTAGATAAGCCAGAACAATGCGGACACGGGGGAAAGCAGCCCGTTGTTTGTGGGAGCTGAAAGGTTTCCCTGAGAGTAGAGCTTACTCCCCTTTGCCACCCGCCCCCACAGGGGCTCCTCAGTGCTGAGAAAAGTGAGATTGTGCTTTAAAATATTAAATGGTTTTCCAATCAGTTCAGAATCTTAGCTTTCACCTGGGTCTTTTGTATGCGTTCACTTATTCCAGCAGGAGATTTGTAATAGAGGAAGCAGGTGTAACGTGGTGATTATAAAGATATTGTTGGGAGGGGGAAAAAAAGAGTGATTTTTTTCAGTGCTTTTCTCCTCTGAGCCTGCCAGAGCTTCCTTTTCAACTGACTCCATCACCTTTTAGCAAGATGGTGTGTTTTTGTCCAAGTCAGTCAGTCAGTCAATTGTGCATAGGAAAATAAAAGGCTGCTGGGTAAATTTGAAACCTTGATAACACATTCCTCCATTTGTATATATTGTACAGCTTACCAGTGTATTCATTCCTTTGGCTTTCAACATTTCACAACTTTCCATAGGTCAGCCCGAGCAACAAAAACAGGTCCTGGTAGATTGAAAGATCCCTGCTTTCAGACACTCATATTCACATCACTTTGCCTGTTGATTTCCTGTTGATTTTTATTTATTTTTATTTTTATTTATTTTTCTTTTATTTTTAATCAGCAACATCAAATGGGTCTTTGGAGGGCCTGGATAACCAGGAGGGAGGGGTGTGCCAGACAAAAACCATGAAGATCCTCATGAAAGTTGGACAAGGTAAAGACCATCTGCTGTTTCATGAAATCACTTTGATCGGTCTCAATGTCCTTTTTAGTTTTCAGGCTTCTTTAGGCAGCGTAGAGCAGAGAGGCAGTCAAGCCTAGTGTGGTCATTCCTCCCTTATAGTCTGAAAGCACAGCCTATTTTCTCTTCCTCGGCTACTGACAGATTTCTACAGAAGGAGGGTTAGTGTAATAAGATCTCTTCATTGGAGAGATCCCTAGAAGGAAAGGTCACCTGGGAGTAGTGTGTTTCAGTCATTTTTATTTTTATTTTAAAAACAAAAGCCACAACTCTGCTGCTCAGAATTATTTAAAATACATGAAAAGAGGGAAGCTAATATTTCTATAGTTTGCTTGTTATGAATTCTGATTACAGAGAGGTTTTTGTTCATTGTCTCTTTTCACATATAGATAACCTATTGTGCAGGAAGAAAGCATTATTCTTCTAAGTAGAAGTTGGTTTAGTAGTCAATCAACTTCCTCAGTTAAACTGAAATGTCATCTGCTAAGCTTTTCTTGCCAATTACAGGAGACCCTATAGTTTCTGCAGATGGCCTCACAATTTAAACCTGAAATAACTAATATAACCATTTTGCTTTAAAAGGGAAATTACGTTCTTATATCTCCCAGTCCTTTGCATAAAGGTTCTTCTGTTTAAACCATTTGTGTCTCACGAGGTACCTAGAGCCAGCTTGTGAGGCTCCATACCATCAAGTGCCAAAGCTGCATGAGTCCTCTTTCTCTCCCCAGATCCCAACTCAGCAGGGCAGCCCCGGTACACGGATCCCACCAAGCGCCCCGAGCAGGAAGCTGGCACCAACGGGAAGAGTTCCACCACCAGCCCCTTTGTGAAGGACCACTCAGGTAGGTGTGGTGGGACTTTGCCCTGGAGCATCTTCTCCTCCTTTGTCCCCAAATGTTTTATTTTACTATTAACATCCTAGAAAAGCAAATGTTTTCATCGTGAGATGAAGCAAAAGCCAGTTCTGATTACCCTGGTGGATAGTGTGTGGGAGCTGCAAGTTATGGCAACAGCTGTTCTCTCCCCTCTTCCACTCTACTGTAGAAGTTAATTACATCTTGTCACAGTGTCTCTCATTTACAGGAAAATTTCTGGATAGGGCATTTGCTAAGCAGTTTTACAGTGGTCAGTGCTGCCTTACATTTAGTACTCTAGCAGATGATCGAGTCTCTTTCTCTTCCCGCATAATACATTATCAAGTGGTTCTTGATAGCCATTTATAAAGTTTATTTCAGGGCATCTATAATTAATGTCCTGATGTTTTAGCTGACCATATGAAGTCTAGACATGTATGGCTGGTCTTCTACTAAATGTAAAGTTTTGGGGTTTTATTTTATTTCAATAATTATCTAAGTAAAATAAATAGATTATTCGAAAAAAATATCTTCAGTATGTATTTCACTCATAGGGTGAACAAGAGAAAACCTAACTCTTAAGACTCAAACTGTCCAGAAGAAAATTCAGTAATTAGTAATGCTACAAAGCAAAACTTTGCTGACAGGTGATTCTGGGTTTCCCGAAAAAGGCCACAAGTTTTTCTTGCCAGCTGTGTCTTTAATTACTGCGCTAGTGAATCTTTGATACAGTAAGTGGCTTCAGCTGATCCCTGCCTAGGCTTTGGTGGGAAGAGTTAACAATTACGTGAATATAGCATCTGCATCATTTTTCCGTTGTGAGTGAACATCAAGAGAGGGGAATATGTTAAAACTTAAAAGTGAAGAAGTGTCAATGAGCATTCATGTAATTTTTGTGACAAATAATATGATGGTGTGATAAGCAGCAAATATTCAACAGGCTGTTCAGCACATGAGCTTTTCCTGACTACCAAATGAGTGGTGTTGTTTTCTTTTAAGTAAATGTAAGTTAATACTAACAGACATGCCATAAGCGTTCTGCCTGTCTCCCATGCTGCCTCAAGCTCCTTAGTTTCATTTCCAAGCAAGAGGAGTCCCTGTAAAGAGGCACTAAGGATGGTTTAACTTAAATCAATATGCGAAAGATAAAATAGCAGAGGGAACAGCGTGGCTCTGAACAGTACCAGTTGTTCTGAGAATTGTAATTTCCCTGTGTTATTTTCCCTTCCAGTCCTATCCCACCCCTCTCTTGTGCCTGGGGCTGGCCTGCATCTGTTAAAAGATGCTGTGTGCATCAAAGGCTGCCTTGTCAGTGACAGTTCTCGCCGCTGATGGATGATGATGTATGAAACAGGGTGGTTTGGGAGCAACACAAAAGTGAGACCAACAGGCACAAAGTCTTGCTTTATATCGATTGCTGACTTCGGCTGTTTGCATTTAGCTATCTAACAGGGTAATTGGTTTGTCAAAGTTTAGCTGTCAGTTAATTCTTCCAGTCTTGCTTACTCTACACATTTTTAAGCAACGTAAATGGGTCACAGGATGGCAATAACTTTTGTCTATTGTATTTCCGTTCTTTCCAGGATCTAGCACAGATGGCAGTAAGGCTGGGCATTCCAGTATACTGGGTTCAGAGGTGGCCTTATTTGCAGGGATTGCATCAGGGTGCATCATTTTCATCGTCATCATCATCACTTTGGTGGTTCTTTTGTTGAAGTACCGGAGAAGACACAGGAAGCATTCCCCGCAACACACGACAACTCTATCACTTAGTACATTAGCCACCCCAAAACGCAGTGGCAACAACAATGGTTCTGAGCCCAGTGACATTATCATTCCTCTAAGGACTGCAGACAGTGTCTTTTGCCCCCACTATGAAAAGGTCAGCGGCGACTATGGACATCCGGTGTACATAGTTCAAGAGATGCCTCCTCAGAGTCCAGCAAACATTTATTACAAGGTCTGAGGAACACACAACCAGCTCTGTGGTACAGTTGAGTCGTAGAGGAAACTCACTGGTCAAATGCTTTCTGTTGGGGTTTGTGATGACGCCTTGTGCGCTAGCATTGACTTAAGCACAGGGGGGAGAAGGCAACAGCTCTTTCTCCAGGAACCGACGCGAGCTGGACAGCTTACCTAGTCTGTAGAATCCCTATCTCGGTGAATAAGTATTCACTAAAAGCTGGAAGACTTTTCTGTAGAAGATGCCCATTCTGATTGCTGTACTCTTGTTACATTCATCATCCTCAAAGCCATGTGCTGTGGGCATTCAGGCATGTACAAAAGCCAAGGGAAGATGGAGCAATCCGTGGATGTTAATAGCTCTAGGCATCCTGGGAAGGTGCTCTAGGATATATCAAGCTTGAAATGCAATCTTCTGACTTTTGTGTGTCTCTCTCAGTGCGTATTGGATTTGTCACACAGACCTTGGTGTCTAAGTAAGACTTGTTAAAGTTCTCTTGCTTTTAGTCCGTCACTGTTCCATTTGTTTCTGTTAACCGGGGCTCTGCCATCCTTCACATAAGATTTCCTTTCACTCCACCTCCTGAATCACTAATGGAACATTAATGTTTGGAGATCCGCACTCCATCCATCTGCTACAGCAGCCTCACTCGAATGGGTAATGCATTTATAAAAATTGTGTTTGATAGTAAGGAGCCTTCCAGCCAAAAAGTTAGGCTGTCAACAAAGTCAAGAGCAGGACTGGGTGGTGGAGGGAAGGGCTGATTGAGGTTGCAATTGAATATTGCTGCCTCAGAAATAGAAGCTGGGAAAAAAAAAATGCATTTAGGTAGCACAGCACTTTGGTATGCTAAGTTTTAAGAGGCAAGTAGGAAACACAATAACATGTGCAGTGGATTAAGGCTGCATTTGAAGGAATTCACGGTTATCAAATACCACTGTGCAGAAAAAAATAGTACCTTCAATACAGTAGAACAAAGGGGTATTGTTAGTAAGTCAACAAGCCTGGAGAAGACAAGACAATAGCAGGCCACTGAGGATGTATTAGGGCAGGGCTGTTGTGGTACTGGCAATAAAATGCACAGCTTTGAAGCTGTAGCAAAAACATAGTCTGCCTTGGATGACTTTTAAGCAGACTCAGCTGCTATACGATCACATTATACTAAACACAGGGAAAGCATTTAAGAAAACAACTGAGAGCCAAGTGCCTAAGATGATTATAAGCCAGTGGGTCAAATGAGCTGTAATTCTATCACTGATAAAGTTGTGGGGAAAACAAACAACAAAACAACAAACCACAAAACCTTGCTCATCTCTAAAAGTAAGGCAGAATTTCTTTGTGACTGACCCTTTTGGCACTTTGGCTTATTGTAGTGCTGTCCCTGCACAGTGAGTGTAGGTACTGACTGACACAGCAGTTCATTGGTGCTCTGTTGCAAAGTTAAAGCACATATGGCAAACCTCTGGCAGTCCATAAGGGTAAAATAAATTATGACACTGAGATGGAGAAGGAAAATATGTCTTATTTATAATAGGTGTATAGAACACAAGGGATATAAAGTGAGAGTTTTTCTTTTGTTCATTCTTTCTTACTTTTGGTTTGGATTTTTTTACTAATATATATTTTGAGATTGCACAGAATCTACACCAGAAGATGTGAAATTCATTTGCGGCAATTGCATAGTCTTAACTTGTCATCATTTTCCATATATGTGTGTGTGTGTGTCTATGTATATACACACATATATAAGTATATATGCATACGTATGTATATATATGTATGCATATGCGCACATTTTTTTTAAAAATAAACTACTTCTGGAAAAAAAAAAAAAAAACAGCTATCCTAAACCACCAGTGGGAGCATAGTTTAAAAAAAAATTCCAAAGCATCTTGTAAGAAGAAAGTAGAAAATATAAGGTCCAAAATATCAGGAATTCAGTGTTACTGCATCACATATTTAACAGCAACAAGATGTGCCGGCATTTATTTTATGTGTTGTGTTTTCCCTTGCCTTACAGGCTGATGTGTTCTGTAGATTTTGTTGAGGTTCGTAGAGGGGGGTTTCAGGTTAAAGTTTTCTCTTTAGCGTGGCTATTCCCCTAAAGCTCCCACCCTAGGGAGGAAATAAAAAAAAAAAACCTCTACTTTTATATGTGCTATGCAAATAGACATTTCTAACATAGTCATGTTACTATGGTAACACTTCGCTTTCTGATTTGGAAAGAAAATGTAGCAACAGCATTTTAGGGTTCTCAGACCTCTGGTGAGCACCTGCAAGAAAAAAAAAAAGAAAAAAAAAAAGAAAGAAAAGAAAAATATCTGTCATAGAAATGATCACTTTCTTTGTTTTCTGAACCTGAAGATAATGTTGGGATGTTGGCCCAAAAGAGAGAAACAAAAAACAAAAAAAATTCCAACCCATGGTTCTGTGGAAGGTTACCATGGTGACTAACTACAGTACATATGTAATTCTTTTCAACAACCCTTCTTTTCTATGAATCCATCCATACAAGGTTCTCTTGTAAGTCATTAAGATTTTATTTTGGGGGAGGGGAAGGGAAAAGATGGGCTTACTGATCCTTATTTTTATTAAATCATATCTATGCTTCATCAGTTGGCTACATTCTAGTTATATACTAAACTGTGAAAAAAAATCAGACTAATTGCTCAAGAGCAACCTGCAACCAATTGAAAAAAAAAAAAAGTACTGTGCGTCTGTTTTGTGTCTGGTGCAGAATTATGACAATCTACCAACTGTTCCTTTCTTTGACGTTGGTCCAGCTTTGAAAAGTTACTGTAAATGCCTTGCTTGTATGATCATCCCTAGTCACCCAAATTGGAATTTGCACCATCATGTCTAAGTGAAGATGCTGTAAATAGGTTCAGATTTACTGTATATGGATTTGGGGTGTTACAGTAGCCTTATTCACATTTTTAAATAATTTAAAAACCCACATTAAAACAAGATAAAAAAGGCTTTTCTTAACCAGATTGTGTATATAGAGCAATGTTGGTTTTTTATAAAGTCTGAGCAAGATGTTTTGTATAAAATTTGAATTTTGCAATGTATTTAGCTACAGCTTGTTTAAAGGCAGTGTCATTCCCCTTTGCACTGTATTGAGGAAAAAATTATATAAAAGGTTGCCAAATTGCCGCATATTTGTGCTGAAATTGTGTACCATGAATATTTATTTAAGAATTTCTTTGTCCGGTTTGTAAGTAACACAGTATTATGCTTGAGTTATAAATAATTTCTTCTTTCTTTTTCTTTTTTTTTTTTTTTATTTTATTTTTTGGTTTCGTTTGTTTGTTTGTTTCATTCTGTATTAAAACTAGCCGGTCATAAGTTTGAATTCTGCTTTAGTTCCACATTGCAATTAGTTCCCAGAAAATGAAAATTATGAAAATCACATTCCACGTCTGTTTCAAACTGAATTTGTTCTTAAAAAAATAAAATATTTTTTTCCTATGGAAACCTTGCCTTCTAAGTATTTTCTTCTTTAGTTTTGCAATTTTTTTCTTTTTTAAAGGATGAAAATAAATAAGAAAGTCACCAAGCTTGCCTGCCTGCCTCCCCCCGTCTCTCTCTTCCTTCTTTCCCCCCTCTCTCCAACGTGATTGCTAGTGGTTTATAGGAAATCTCCTTAGACTACACTGACTTCTGTTAGCCTGCTTCTTTCAAATTTTCTCTTCCATATATCAGCAGATTTTAGGAATCACCTTGGCATCTTATGCCCTTGGAAGGCAGTGAACTGCAGTTAGATGCAGTAGCCAGGTTTCTTGGATGATCTTGGAGTTGAGAGTACAACCACATAAATAATTCCCAGACATTATGTGGTGGATGTACTCTGTGGGCAGAATCAGAGGAAAAAAAAAACACCTGAAGCTTTCTCCTGAGGAGGGGCAATGGTGAGCCTGGGGTAACAGGGCTGAGCAAGAAGGGACAGGAGATGAAAGACATTGGGAGGATAACAAAGGATTGGAAGTGCTGCAAAGTCAAGACATCTCTTCATGGTTCTTTTACTGCAGCCTGGGGGAGATGGGGGCCAACGTGCAGGTAGCATGAGCCTTAATACAACTCCTGTGATTCTGCTGCCCTAATTTTCACTAGGGTAACAAATTCACTTATAAAATAATACCTTCATTTTCTGACAAAGCCCAGTCACCCTGAAAGTGAAGCACCTTTCCATTAGCAGCGCATAAATGGTATGATGGTCCATGGAGTAACAGGTGGGAAGGTCTACAGAGGGCAAATATGCATTTGTCACTTTAACAATAGATGCCAATTAGCCATAGAAATTTCACAGTTAGCTATTTGTAGTATGGGTCATGCAATTCCCATTTGTCAAACTATTTATTTTTTTCTGAATAATCAGAGAAAAATGACAGTATAGCTAGCACACTTGGCATGTCACAATGACGCAAGTACTCAGAAATGGGATGTACAGAAACCCCTGGACTGGAAGATGGTTGAACTAGTATGACTTCTTGCAGCTGGAGCTCCTTTTGGAGATCCAAGTCACAGAATCTGTGCTGGAAGTTGACCTTAAAGGGAAAGTCACAGTGACACTTTGGTTCACCTCCTGGCTCTGGTACAGATGACCTTGGAGATTTGGTCCAGCAGAAGATATAAGTGAAATATGTGAGCATCCTCTGGCATCTCAGTAAATCTTGGGCCTAATCCTCTATTTAGGTCTGTAAGCCACTTCAAAGGAGGTAGCCTTGTGTTCTCTGAGCACACAGCTACTCAGCTGGATTGTGGTTTCACTCCCTGCTCCATGGCTGCACACGGCAATTCCCCTTGCTGGTCTCGGTGGGTTGTCGTGAGGGCTCCCACGTCATCATCTGCTGTGAGGTGCTCAGGTCTGGTCTGTGCTGAGAGCCTGTCTGGCACAGCCATCTGTTAGAGCTGTGGTTCTAGCTTAGTTAAGGCCAAGGCTATTGTTTGTATTTTAATCCTTGTTAAATACTGGAAGCTGTTGATAAACAAATACTTCAATAGTGTCAAGTTTACATGGCATTTTCATTACTGTGCCTCTTTTTTCCAAGTATATTATAATATATATTTATAACTAGCATGTATACTGACACCCATGGACACCTATTTTTGCCACTGTCTTAGCAACAAGGGAAAATTGCTGTTGCTAAAAAACTGTGTCTCCACTGGGAGGGAAAAATCCTTGCCAGTGTAATAACTATCTGTATATTTATGCCTGGGGCCAAGGATGCTTGGTTAACAGGAGTGCCTTGCACGCATACCTTCCCAAACAGAGCAGAACCTCCACTGGGTTGCTGAACTCATTTCAGTAAAAGATGCCTTAGACACTCAGCATAAAGTCATTGTCTTACAACCCATCTTCTATAACTTGCAGAGGAAAAAAATACTTTCATTTTTTCCTGCTGCTGACATCTCACTATTAATTATCAAACAAGCACAAAATCAGAATTTACTGCCTTTATTACAAAACTGGTTCTCTGGCAAGAGCTAGTCCAAATCAATAGGCTCCACTAAGTGGAAAATAAAATTATAATTCACAGTAGTTATCCACCTAGAGTGGAATTAGGATCTGTTATATAAAATAGTGCCTCACAAAGTAAGCATAACAATGTTACTGCCTTGGTTTAAAACCTTGTACCTCTTGTTCAGCCTGTCTCTTTAGCTTTGCTGTGATGCATTGATCAAATGCTCACTCAGTCAGCAGCACACGTGTTTTGATTCTATGGGCACCATAAATTTTCTTTTTGCAGAAAAGCTTAAAATTTTGTAGTGGTTAGCAAAATAAAGGACAATGAAAATGCAGTCTTTCTAACTGCTGCTCTCCATCTTCACAGCCACAATACAAATTTTGGTGGGGAAAATATCCAAGGTTTGAAAACACCAAACAAACTCCTTATACAATTGGTATGTCATTACATGAAGCATCAGACCA